AGAGGGGAGACGATTTTCTGAAACCCGAGTCTCACACACAAAACACTGAACACAGAGAGTTGAGAACTTCCAAATTCAACGTTAAAACTTCGATCYTATCTTCCAATTTCTTCGCTTCTGACTTCATCCGATCCGCTTCCATGGATCCCTTCGATTTGTTCCGGAAAGGTATACAAGACTGTGTTCTCTTTAACCTGCTTTCTAATCCATCGATTTTTTTTTGGTGTTGTTATGTTTATAGCAATAATTCTGTACAAAATTTGGGACTTTATGTAATTGATGCAATTTTACTTGTTTTTCGATTGTTCTGGGCATTGAAGTCACTGAGATCTCTTTAATTTGGTTGTGTAGCCGCGAGATTCTGATTCTGGTTGCTTGGTTTTTGCTTCTGGGGGTGTGTATCGTTTTTCTTGCTCTAATCTTTAGTTGTAAAGTTTGGTAATTTATGTTATGGTCTGGTTCAAGTTAATCAGGTCTTCTGCTTCTTATCTTCTTTCTATTGTTTTTATTCTTATTTATTTGTTATATAATGTTATCGTATATAATAATGTCACGTATTCCTTCTCACCAATTGTAGCAAATGTTCTATGCATGATGTCTTGGCTTCAGTACTCMTCTGGCTAGTACTCAGCTCACATGAAATGACATTAAGTGTATGGTTAAAATGAGCTGAATGGTAATTTTATCCCATTTTTATCATATGAAACTTGAAAGTTTTGTGGAAGGTTTTCTTGATTGTCTCAAGAATTTTAATTTAAATGACGTAGGTTTTTGGCAATATTAATATCTTGTGCATATATTTCGTGGAGATTATTTCTACAGTTTCTACATGGAGGTTTATTGAATATTTGCMGTTCATTTCATTTCAGATAAGAAGAATGTATGGGGACTAAGGGACTTCTTTTAAATATGTATTATTATTTTTTAATGTTTTATGATGGATGGAAATTAGTCATTTTTGGTTTACTCGACTAACTAACTAGCCCGATGAAACGAAATCATATTGCAGGATTTGGTTGAGGCTA